ATACATAAATGATTTTAATTAAAACCAACATTTACACTTTTAAAAAAATTAATTACAAAAAATATATTTATTGTCACCTTAACTTATGCCTTTAAAAAAAAAACCCCTTACATTAATTAATCTATTTAATCCATCCAGCTTCTCTTTCTTTTCTGTTTTTTTTTTTTTAAAATTAATTAGTTAATTAATGTATCAACAAACTAATTAACATTGTTCATGCATGTAGAAGACCCATGGTTATTTATATAATATCTCAAGGGATTAGCATGTTGGAGAAGGGGTTCGTTACTCATCTTAGAATATGTATATATATATATATATATATACACACAAAATAAAAATTGTAATACAGTTTAAACTATACTAAATTGCATTATATTAAGCATTAAATAGGAGCAAGATTCTCCCAAGTAAAGTTGCAGCTTTCAACTGGAAAGTAATGCTGGACAGAATTCCAACCAAGACAAACTTGCTCAAAAGAGGAATTGTCAAAGATACAGGAGAAAGAAAGTGTGTTCTGTATGACAACGAGGATGAGGACTCTAACCATCTGTTCTTGAATTGCAGTATAGCTAGAAGGTTGTGGCAGGCATGTGCAAATTGGTGGGGGATCACTGTCACGTTACACAAGGATTGTTGGAAAGCATTTCAAAATTTTGGTGCATGGACCACAAGCTCACGAATTTCAGAAGGGTGGGATTGCATATGGAACTCATTTATTTGGTCAGTATGAATGGCCCGAAATGGGAAGATTTTCCAGAATTTGAAGGTAAACTGGCCAAACTGTTTGAACTTATTCAATCGCGCTCTTTTGCATGGATTAAGGCTAGAAAAGCCAAATGTTACTTTAATCTTTTAGATTGGTTAACCAACCCTGCTTCTTGTCTTTCTATTCATTGCGGGAGGAAAAAGTAGATGTAGAAGGGAGGGTCTGAAAGATGGGATTAACATTGAAAGGCTTCTATATAGCTTTTGTAAACGGGTTTGAGTACCCATTGTACTCAGTTAATTATTTATTAAAATATACTTTGCTGTTCAAAAAAAAAAAATAGGAGTTAGATCTCTTGATATTAGAAGCACTCTCTTATTTAATATTTTTGTTTTACAATTTGATACAATTTTGATGATAAAGCAGAGTTTCATATATATGTATATATATGATTCATGAAAGAGATACATACAAGAACATAATTTCTAACAACTAAATAAAAATAGTTTAGATATTGAATACAATTAAAAATTTATGAAGTTTCATGTCTCAATTCGTGTTGGATAAAAGACTGAGAAAGGTATATAATGAGATTTGCATAAACAACCAGTTGTTTTCAAAATTTTATGGACAAGTAAATTATTCACTAAATTCTAGGATTCCTTCGGAGGCAATGCTAAATCATGGCATGGTGGGGTTCATTGGAAGTTGATCGTGAAACAACGTTTATCTTATCTAATGAGCTGGAAGTATCATTATTATGACATAATTCTTTTATAATGATCATGACCAAACACCCTTCTGTACATGGACCTGTATATTTTGGTTTATTTGCATCTTTTCTTTTTCTTTACTTTTTAAATTTATATCCATTGAGATGAAATTCCAACCACCAGCATGACCAAAAGAAACCAAAGGGGCTCATTTTTGTCTTAATTAATTGCGTTTTTTTAGCTAACATCTTAATGAGATTCTCAGTTGCAGGAAGGCACTCCTTTTTGCATTCTCTTTCCAGCTGGTTTGATATACAGAGTTGTCAAATGCATTGAATTCTCACTTTTCTTCCTTAAAAAAAATGAGTCTTCTATGCAATGCAATGGTCTGAGGCACAACAATGCTTTGCAGCTCTAGAAGATGTTTGCTGAACTAACACTCAACTGCAACTCAACTTTTGCTGCAATGAGAGAAAAGTGAAAATCATGTGATAAGACAATAAATTCACCCAATTTATGTGATTCACTTAATGACATCACTTTCCCTTTAATATTTTCTCTTGCTGGTATGTGGTGCACTGTGTTTGTATCTTGGACAAACTTGGGTGTTTGCTCTACGCACCAAGTTGGGCTTTAGGTTATCCTTTAGCCCGATTTAGTTAAAATTGTATGGCCTTTTGTTTTATTGGACTTGGGGTTACAACTTATCAACTTACAACACAAAAAGCGAGGTGTTTATGGGTCATGTAATTGGCTGATTTGCGGTGGTTTAAAACCATTTGTGGTGGTTTAAAATCACAATGACAACGTGAGTTCAACTAGCCCAATAATAATTTCATCCCACTCGAGTGAAAGTTAAAAAAAAAAAATTTGAATAATGATAAATGAGATAAATTTTATGGGATCAAAATTTAAAATCAATGATTTGACATGAGTTATATTATTGAAAATATTAAAAAATAGATAATATATTATTTAATAATTAAGAGTGCATTTAGTATTGTAGTTGGAATCTTTTTTTATTATTGTAAAATACTTTTAGATATATATATTTTTGGTAATTTTTTTATATATTGTTTTTTTCAAAAGCTATAGAAAATTATAACAGATCCATGGCAGTTTTATTTACAAAGTCAAAACCTTTATTTTGGAGTTTTTTTTGTTGTATTTTATGGACAACTTATAATATTTTATATTAATACTGTTAAGATGTAAACACATTTATTGTAAATATTTTATACCTTAAAATATTCTTTTTATATACTTTATACATTAGAATATTTTCTTTGTAAACACCTACATATAGGTTATTGTACATACATTATTATTCAAGAAAGCAATAAACCTTTCTTTAGATATTTCTCCTTCTTTTCCGTTTCTAACATGGTATCAGAGTTATAAGCTCCTGGTTCTTTTTTTTTTATCATCATTGTTGGTTTCTGAGTTGGTTTTTCAGATCTATTTCGAATCTGAAACTTTGTCGTTGGGTTCTCTTCTCCTACAGATTGGATTGTTTAGATTGTTTATTCTCAAGCACTTTCTTAGATTGTTTATTCTCCGTTGATTCTATGGCGAGTTTTGAAAGAACTATGACTTATCAAGCTACTACAATGGTTGCCAAAGAGGTGATAGACCAACCTATTATCAACCTTGAATCTATAAAACAGTTGATATTAAATCTTCTTAATGCTCTTACTGTCTTATTTACTGCTTCAAGTACTAAACCTTGGTATTTTGATTCTGGTTGTTGTAATCACATGTCTTTAACTACTGCTCATTTCTCTTCAATGTCACCAGATAATTCCTTTTCGGATATTTATTTTGTTGATGGTTCCCCTATGAATGTTAGTCACATTGGCAATATTTCTACAAATTCATTGACTTTACCAAACGCTTTCTTGGTTCCAAAACTTAGTTATAGTCTTTTATCTATTGGTCAATTGTGTGATCTTGGTCTTGAAGTAACATTTTCTACTCATGGTTGTCGTGTGCATGACCCATAGACAGGACAACTTCTTGAAACTAGTCGCAAGGTGGGGCGTCTATTTGAGCTCAATGATATGCACATTCCTCATCATATACACCATCATTTCCAAATGACCAATTCATCCAAACCTTACTCTGTGCTGTTGAATTAGAGTCTTTGCAAATTTCATGTCAACAAATCTTCCAACCTATGTTGTTACTAACATTTCTCCTCTTCATTTATGGCACTCACGACTTGGACACACCTCAATCAGTAAACTCTGTCCTTTTATCTCTCGTGGTTTATTAGGATTTGTTCCGAATGAATCCTTAAATTGTGTGTCATGTCAATTTGCAAAACAACTAGTTTTATCTTTTTCTACTAGTCGTTATCTTTTTGTTGCTTCTTTTGATCTCGTGCATTTTGATGTTTGGGGTCCATCTCCGACACCTACCATGGGGGGTTCTAGGTACTTTGTGTTATTTATTGATAATCATACTCGTTTTACCTGGATATATCTTATGAAAAATCGCTCTGAGTTACCACAAATTTATATTGATTTTGCTACCATGGTTAAAACCCAATTCTCTAAAATTATCAAAGTTTTGAGGACTGACAATGCCACAGAATATCCTAGTACTAAACTTCAATTATTTTTGAAAGAACAGGGTACACTGTCACAACAATCTTATCTTTACACTTCTGAATAGAATGGGCGAGCCGAACGTAAACATAGACATATCCTTGATTCTGTTTGTGCTCTACTCATTTCGTCTTCTTGTCTAGAGTGATTTTGGGGTGAAGCTGCTCTTACAGCTGTTTATCTCATTAATCGAATTCCATCATCAGTCATCAATAATAAGTCTTCATACTAATGTTTACATGGTTTTCCTCATGCCTATGATCTTCTTAAAGTTTTTGGTTGTACTTGTTTTGTTCTTCTTCCACTTCATGAACATAACAAGTTAGAGCCTAAAGCTAGATTATGTTGTTTTTTGGGTTATGAGATTACACATAAAGAGTTTCGTTGTTGGGATCCTGTGTCACAAAAACTTCGAGTCTCATGTCATGTTATCTTTTGGGAACACACTATATTTTCCTCATTATCAAACTTCTAGGTGTCATCTTTTGATCAACCTCGACTTTTAACTAACCCTTCTATTGAGCTATTTCCTAGTGACTCTGATGCAGATACATTTGATGACCTCCATGATGCCTCTCCACATGCTCCATCTAGTTCTATAGAAGATGCTCTGCCTACTAGTAATGTATTATACAATGGTGAGTCTTCTTCCCTTCCCTCTTCTGTACCACCTATTGGATTTGACCCTGTTGAGCCCGAAAATGAGATCCTTAATCCACCTTCAAGTCGTCCTACTCGGGTAAGGAATCCTCCTAACTATCTTCGTGACTATCGTTGTTTTCCTACTATTACCTCCTTACATGAGCCTCAATCCTATCAAGAGGCCTCTTCTAACCCTCTTTGGCAGCAAGCTATGTAAGATGAATTATAAGCTTTTGAGAAAACTCATACATGGGATTTAGTTGATCTTCCTGCTGGAAAGCCTCTAGTAGGTTGTAAATGGGTGTACAAGATCAAAACTCGGTCTGATGGTTCCGTGGAGCGTTACAAGGTTTGTTTGGTTGCTAAAGGATTTACTCAAGAATATGGGATTGATTATGAGGAAACCTTTGCCCTTGTTGCTCATCCTACTTCAGTTCGTAGTTTGATTACTATTGCTGCTGCAAAAGGATGGAAATTGTTTCAGATGGACATGATAAATGCCTTGCTAAATGGTGATCTTGTAAAGGAAGTTTACATGCAACCACCTTTTGGACTTGAGCATCCTCCAAACAAAGTTTGTCGATTGAAGTGAGCTCTATATGGTTTGAAACAAGCACCTCGAGCTTGGTTTGCCAAGTTTAGCACCACCATCAATGAGTTTGGTTTTACTTCTAGTCCTCATGATATTATATTGTTCATACGCAAAACTAATCATGGTATGGTTCTACTACTTCTTTATGTTGATGATATGATCATTACTGGGGATGATATTTCAAGTATTCATGATGTTAAGCAATTTCTCAGTCAGAAGTTCAAAATGAAAGATCTTGGTGTTTTGAGTTATTTCTTGGGACTTGAGATCACTTCTTCTGATGATGGTTATCTTCTCTCCCAAACAAAATATGCTTCTGATCTTATATTTAAAACTGGACTCATTGACAGTAAGACTGCATCTACTACTCTTGAGCCAAATGTTTGACTCACACCTATGGATGGTTCTTCATTAACTGATCTTACTTGTTACAGACAGTTGGTTGGAAGTTTGATTTATCTCACTACAATGCAACCAGACATAGCTTATGTAGTTCATGTTGTTAGTCAGTTTATGGCTACACCTCGCTCCACTCACTATATAGTAGTACTCCGCATCATTTGCTATATTAAAGGTAGCATTTTTCATGGACTTCACTTTTTTACTCATTCATTCCTTAAACTTCGTGCTTACTTTGACACTGATTAGGCTGTAGACTTTAATGATAGTAAATGCACCACTAGATATTGTCTTTTTCTTGGTGATTCATTAATCTCTTGACGTAGTAAGAAGTAGACAGTTCCATCATGTTCTAGCACATAGGCTAAATATCGAGCACTTGGAGACACCACATCAGAGTTACTTAACTTACGTTGGCTACTAGAAGATATGGGTGTTCCTCAACCGCCTACCACTAATCTTTATTGTGACAATTAGAGTGCCATGCAGATTGCTCATAATGATGTCTTCCATGAACGCACTAAACACATTGAGGTTGATTGTCACTTTGTTTGCCATCATGTTGCACAAGGAACTATTCATTTGGTTTTCATTGGCTCCGCTAATCAACCAACAGATCTTTTCACCAAGGTTCATTTTTCTGGATGCTTTTATGCTCTTTTTTCCAAACTCAAGTTTGTTTCATTACAACCACCTTCAGTTTGAGGGGGATGTTAAGATGTGAACACATTTATTGTAAATATTTTATACTTTAAAATATTCTTTTTATATACTTTATATTTTAAAATATTTTCTTTGTAAACACCTATATATAAGTCATTGTACATACATTATTATTCAAGAAAACAGTAAACTTTTATTCATATTTTTTTCTTCTTTTCCGTTTCTAACAAATACAACTACAAACATCCCTATTAAAATATAATTTTATTTAATTCAATTATATTATAATTTATAATATTTTATTTAAATCTAACATCTTATTTATTTAAAAATTTTATAAAAAATTTAAAACACATTCCATTCTTATAAATTGCTTCACTGCAAAACCCAAAAGGATGCATTATCATATAAAACTTAAAAAACCTAAATTATTACAAAATTTTATTATATATCATTCATATTATTTTTAAAAAATAAATAACTAGACATTAAAATGATGTTGTCTACTACACTCAAAAGTCAAAAGCGTTTTACAAGCTGTCAACATGACTTTCTCCCGCAGTTGTCCATTACTGAAAATTATTAATTATGTATGTTATATATAAGTTTTTTTTTTTTTTTTTGGATGGATATGTTATGTATAAGTATTAATTTATCTCTTTCTCCTTATTGATTTAGCGTCTTCCACGGTTGGTTTATGCTGACTGCGTCCCTCTGACTCCAAAAATATTATTGAAATTACACATATCAGTGCCGAAGAAAAAAGGTAATAACAAAAAATCCACCAACCAGAATTTATATATGACGTATCCTTCATCTACACTTTGCCCGTTTTGACTGGAAGAGGAGGTTTTTTTTTTTTTTCTAGAAATCGAAGGTGCGGCTGCATTTACTGCTTGGAAACAGTCAAAGGTAACTTCTGGAAATAGTTTCAGATTTACGATTGCATACCGAACTTTCCACAAAGGCGTAGCTAAGGGATTCTGCCACACGATTTACCGTAAAAGGGGTATCTTACTGTTACATGGTAGTAAAATTTTTACATTTTCACACCTAAAAAAAAATTGAAAATGGATACATACGACTATTATTAACTAAATAATCCATAATTAATATACTTAAAAAACTAGTTGATTCTAACGAATCTTACCATTGTGTGGTGTGTAATAGGATAAAAGAAAATTGTTGTGTAATTTAAAATAAAAAATAAATAAATAATTTTTTTTACTCTAAAAATAAAAAAAAATAATTAATTTGATATAATTTAAATTTTTAAATAATTATTTTAAAATAAAAGAAATATTACTCTAAACGTGGATAAAAACCCAATCAAAAGTACATAAAATATTAATCCAAAATACTTTCATATTAAGCACTACTTAAGTGATGAGAACTAAACCCTAGCTGCATATCTCTCCCCCTAACCCCTCCATCATTTTTCTCTCTCTCTTTGCATTTAGTCACCGCCCTTTATTTCCCTTGGTGTTTAAGGAGAGCTATTAAGTAGAAATATCTCACATCGAGAATATAATAAAGAAAAATTTGGCTTAAATACAAGGAGTTTTTATTTAAAAAAATACAAGAAGGGTTACTTTATTTATTGTCAATTGATTTTAGATTAGATGTAAGTGTTGTGTTGAAGTTCATATATCAATTTTTACATGATATTAGAGTATTGTCAAAAAATCCATGTGTTCAAGCCCACATGTCAAATTTCATAAGAGCATGAATAAACGTGGGAATATCTCCCTCTAGGTTTCCTTCTCCTTTGTGGGAGTTTCTACCTCTTTCAGGCATCTCTCTATCTTAACTCTCATGCATTTTCATCAAGTTTTGCCTATGATAGAAAAGGAAGGCAGCATAAATATAGGGATGGTTGGGGGCTTAGCCAACTTGTAGCACTTACTTCAGTTGACATGATCAAGGGTGCAATCCCTAACTAATCTTTGTGCCCTAGAAGCTCAAGCATTAGATGAAACTTCTCAAACACTTCAGACACACAATCGATAGTCGTGCAAGGTTTGTTTGCTATCTTATAGCAATTACTTATGTAATATCTAGTAATTGATAGTTCCCTGTACTTAATTCTCTATATATATCGAAAGGAAAATGATTGTACACCTTTTAATTTGATATACTTTTTAACACTTATCCAATTTGATCATTAAAATATATTATCAGTAGAGTTTATTTAGTTGGTTCTTAAATCCTATATACATAACTACATCTTGAAATTTATTTACCTTATATTTTAGACTAAAAAATAATAATTTTTTAATAAATATATTGTGTAGTATATTAAATTGAATGGTATATCAATTAATATTCAAATCCAATATAATATTTTTTGCTTATTAATGAATTGAATTTTTATATATAAAGAAGCTATTTAAGTGAAACTTATATTATATTTTACTTATTTATAGTTATTATTGAATGTTATGATTTTCTACCATTGTTTTTTTCATGTTGTATTATATTAAGTAAAGGAGCAAATAATTTATTTTTTTAATATAAAAACGACAAAAGTAAGATGGAAGACTGTGGACTTTCAAGTCAAAATGCAGTGCAAATTCTGTTAAACCGGTCTTTTTCAGCCGGCCTATTGGAGGGAAGATTTTTCGGGATGTTTTCCCTTGGACATTCCCTCTCCTAAATAACACTCAAACTACATTAATTAGAAAGTACACGAAAGACAGAAGAGTCAAATTATGCTTGTTTGAAGGGTTCCAAAATTTCCAAATCCAAACAATTCCGGCCGGTCAAATCAAAGGAAGTATTGCTTCGATTAAAAATCTTCCAAGTTAATTTCTAGGTTTCTTCCTCGTTCACATCGGCATCCATCCTTGTACTTCTATATAAACCATCATCTCAAAACCAACTAATCGCCAAATATACATACATTTCCTCCAAAAAAAAAAGTTTAACCTTTTAATTTGATTCAACATGCAATATTGCAACAAGGTAGCTAGACCTGCCTGCGATGTCTTCATCAATCACAGAGGCATCGATACAAAGAGGACGATCGCTACATTACTCTACGACTACCTTGGGCGGCGAAACCTACGACCTTTCCTGGATAACAAGAATATGAAGCCTGGGGATAAGCTGTTTGACAACATAGACAGTGCCATAATGGGGTGTAAGATAGGAGTTGCCGTGCTCTCGCCACGTTACTGTGAGTCCTACTTTTGCCTTCATGAACTAGCCCTCCTTATGGAGTCCAAAAAGAAGGTGATTCCGATATTTTGTGATATCAAACCATCACAGCTTTGTGTTGTGAACAATGGACTCTGTCCGGAAAAGGATATAAGAAGATTCAAGTGGGCTCTTGAGGAGGCTAAGTACACTGTAGGCCTCCCATTCGACTCCACAAAAGGGTAAGAATTGTATATCAAAACTACACTTCATTTAAACATAGACAACTTTTACCCCTCCATCAATAGTTAACTATTTTTAAATTGCATTTGAATGGATTGCAAAACATTACTTTGAAGTTAATTGATGAAATTTTCCTGAAAGCAATGTTAATATGATTTGCAGGAATTGGACAGAGGTGATCACAAGTACTTCGGATATTATAATCAAGAGCTTGATTGAGATCAACAAGGAAGAAAGGATGCAGCGTCTACTGGGAAGACTTGAATGGCGACATGATTAACAAGAACAAATTTAAATTCATTCTCTTAATTACTCAATTGTAGTTAATAATTTTGAACAAAAAAATAACTCATTTTTTTTATTCATTTGTTAAAGAGTAACATGAAATCATAAATACAGTTGACGAAAAGCCAATAATACTTGAAATAATTCCTAGTTAACATTGTATAAAGGATTCAATATTTGTCCATGTAATTGTTTTTTTCCTTAAATGTAATAAAATTTCAGAATATTTTGTTTATATTATGAATTATACAAATAAATGGATGTTTTATCTTATATGTCTCACCTAGCATCTCACATCTTCCATGTTCACTTAACTTCATTTAGAATTTCATTAATCACATTCATTGAACCACCCAGGAATGGAGCCAATGAAGGACGGGGGCAGTTGCCCCCCTAAACTTTTGAAAAACATTTAATAAGGTACTTTAATTTTTATTTGCTAAAGATTTTGTTTTTATAGTACGAATTTCAAATAACCATTTCAAATGTAAAGAAAACATTTAGAACTTAAATAAAGAGTTTTCAAAAAGAAAAAGAAAAAGATATAATTCAAAATGAAATGAACTTTATGTTAATTTAATTAATTTGGAATTAGAGTTAAACATTTTCTCATCTATTAAACCCAAATAAAAAAAAATTAATTCTCTATTTAAACAGCTTTAAATTTACAATTTTTTTAATATTTGTTATTTTCTTTTTAAATATTCTATATAATAATTTAAAGTTTTTTTATTTGGCATTGCTATAGGTTTTTACCTTTCATGATTGAATTTATAATCATATTTTTTTTTTATGTTAAATCAATCTAATTAAGTTAAATTTCACTTTCTAAAAGAAATATTTTAGCATTTTTTTTATATCATTAGTGTTTATCAACATAAACTCCAAAAAATTAAATGAAAAGACACTCCAAAACTATATTATTTCAATAAAACCAAAATACTTTCATTCTTACTTTAAAAATATATTGTTTTTATCTTTTTTAATGCAAGTTTATTGAAACAATATAATTTTTAGTGTTTTCCTTCATAATTTTTTTAGAGATTTGACTGACAAACATATTTCTTTTTTTGTTTCTATTTATTCTTCAATTGATCATTGCATGATTTATTTGTTGCAATATATTGTTTTTTATTTTAATAAATACATTTATATCTTTTTAAAAAAAATATATTTATAAAAAGACTACAAGTAAATCTTTTATAAGAAAAAGAATATTTAAAAGAAAATAAATTAATATCTTAAAAGATATTTGAAGGCTTAAATTTTCAACAATAATGCTCACCCCCAAATTGAATTTCTTGGTTCCATCCCTAGAACCACCACATTTATGAACATGTATATTCATGAAACTATCATATTCAAGGAACTATCTAATTTTATTCAATGTTTCAATTAAGTTTCATTCATGAATTTAGTCAAGTTCATCTATTGAATTTATGTAACATTCATTTTCCCTTAATCTATATAAATAGGCTTGCATCATATGGAAAACTCATTTATTGGAAATGGAAATGGAAATGGAAATGGAAATGGAGATGGAGATGGAAGAATAGAAAGCACTGTTATTTGTCATACTTCTCTCTCGTCTTCTCATAATCTTATCCAGGGGCGGAGGCAGAAATTTTCTTCAAGGGGCAAGATGCTAAAATTTTCAAAGTTCAGGGGGGATTAGATAATTTTTCATATACTAATTATATACTGATTTGCAAGATTTTCAAATTTCAGGGGGCGAGCGCCCCCCCTCGCACCGCCACTGATTCTTATCTCACTTTCTTCTACTCAATTATCACTTATTTGATAAGAGTTTACGGATAATGAAATGAATTAAAACATCGGGGGTGTTAATGTCTATAGATGTCATTTGAAGGCCAAAAGTTTAAAGGTTTTGATTGGTGGATTGAGTATTGCGAGGAATAATTATTCTTAGGGCAGGTATACCGTATACAGTAGCCAACAATGGAAAGCTTACTTTAATATCGCATTATTATAATTAATATTGTTTTATATAAATTTATATTTTATTTATTTAACTCTTAAATAAAATATATAATAAAATATCTTATTTTTAATACATTCATTTAAATAATTTTTTTAAAAAATTATATAAATATTATTTTATTTAACTCA